CCGTGCACTTGATGTCGTAGCGCTCGGTCAGCTTCGTCTCGATCTCCTTCAGCGTGATCTCGTCTCCGAGCACCATGAAGTCGTCGCCATGAGCCAGCCCGCGACCTTCATCACTGGGACGATAGAACACAGCTGGGCTTGCCACGCCCATGCGCCACGAATCTTCCAAGAGCTGTCGACTCCAGTCGCTCTGCCACACTGAAGCCGCGTCCTGAGTACCACACATGGAACGTAGCAGCCGAGCGACTCCTCCTCCCTCCTCTTCAGGAAGACGAACGAACAAGATCCTCTGGGCGTCTCCGTACAGGTGCGCCCTGCTGACGTCCCAGAAGCCGATCTTGAGGGGGAGTCCTCGGGGCGAGCGGCACATCGAGACCATGAGCGAGCACAGGAGCTTGACCGCCTCCAGCGGCGGCGTGCTGCTGAAGAGCTCGCTCGCGCTCATCTGCTCGGACGCCTTCTTCGCAGCCTTGATCTCCATCGCGACCAGTCTGGAGCGGTACTTCGGCCTCTGCTCGTCGCCCTTGTTGGTGTCGACCCAGCGCGTCCGTAGCGGCGCCCGAGCGGTCAGGCGCCTGCAGGTCTCCTCGTCACTCGGCTCGAACACCTCGCGATGCTTCATCCAGGCCAGCTCCTCCTGGCGCGCGGCCCGCACCCCCGCAGGGTCGAGCCAGCCCCCGTTGACGTCGTCCCAGTACCACTTGTCCGACTCAGCTGCACCTGGAGGGGCGTCTGGCTTGAAGTACTGCGCCTCCTCGTCTGGCACCGGTCCGACGCCCTCGAACGAGTTGATCTCGCCCGCGATCTCGAGCTCCTCCTTGAGCCCCTGCAAGATCGCGCGGCGTAGCGAAGGCGTGTAGGCCTGCGCCTTCCTAGCACGGCCTCCTCCAAGTAGCGGCGCGTGTCGATGTCCTCCAGGACAGCAGACTGTTAGCACCTTAGCAAGGCGCTCGTTGTTGGTCAGCCAGCCGGTGCTCTTCTTGACCGGCCCGACCTTCCCGTCATCGCCCTTGAGCCCCAGGCCCCAGGCGCACATGTCCCCTCGCACGAGGTACACCCCAGGGAGCGAGACCACCTCCTTCACCGCCTCGTCGTCCCACGACTTGGCGTCCCAAGGGTGCTCGTGCAAGAACCACCTGCCCTTGGCGTGCCTATCCTTGTAGACCTCCATCCCGAAGCGAAGCAGCGCACGATCGTCCTCCTCGGCCTTGGCGTGCGCCTCCGGGTCCTTGTACCTGCCGCGGCTCAAGCTCGTCAGCTTCGAGACGCGCGTGCAGGGCGGCGCCCCGATGACCAAGTAGGGGTCCTGGTCCTCGAGCGCCTGCATGTACCTCTGCTGGTTCACGATCTTCCTCATGTCCAGCGCCTCCTGAGACTCCCGGTCCTTGAGGCTGATGTCCGCCGCTAGCCCTGGGAGCATGCCAAACTCCCCAGCCAGCTCAGTGAAGCATCCTGGGTTGCAGTACTCCGAGAACGCGAGCGACTGCAACTCGAGCGGCACTTCCTCGAGTCCGCCCGTCTCCATGGCAGCAGGTCCAGCGCCTCCTGGGCCTGGTGCTGCCGCCGCCGGCGCCGGGCCTCCCGAGCCCGAAGCCGCCGCGGATGCTGGCGCCGGGCCTCCAGGGCCCGTTTGGGGTGACGTTAACCCGGCCGGCGCCGCGGATGCTGGCGCCGGGCCTCCAGGGCCCGTTTGGGGTGACGTTAACCCGGCCGGCGCAGGGAGCGCGGGCGGCGCTCCTGCACCTCCTCCTGCTGGCCTCGGGGCCGCGCCCCGAAGGTCCACCGCCATAGGCTGGGGGGCTGCACGCGCCTCCTGGGGCGGCTGCTCCTCCTCGCGCCTCCTGACGCGCGGCGCCGAAGACCCCACGGGCGGCGGCTCCGCCCGCGCCTGCTTCGCGCCTCTCCTGCCCTCGAGATCTCTCGGGGCTGGTGGGGGAGGCGGCGCGGCGGCGGCGGCTCCTGGCGCCGCTCGGCCTGCCTCGCCTCCTCTCGCCTGCTCCTCCTCAGCCGCCTTCGCCTCTCTGAACCGGCGAAGTCGCTCGTCACCTCGGGCCGCCAGCGCCTCAATCACGCGCTGTCGGCACAGCTCAGAGTGGGCAACTCCTGCGCGCCCAGTGGCCACCAGGTTCTCGCAGGCGACGCAGCCCTCGGTCGGCCCGATGCCCGCGTCCAGGATGTTGGCCCTGGTGACGTAGAAGCCCACGTCTCGAGACTCGGCGGCTGCTGGCAGCGCCACCACCACTGGCGCATCCATGCGCCCAGCTCTCGGGGCGACGTCCGCAGGAGCTGCCGCGTAGCGCTCCTCGCCGCCCTTCCAGTCCCAAGGCTTGCCTTTGAGCCCGAGGACCTCCTCCTCGTTCCAGGCCCAGCGCTCGGCGGGCGGCAGGCGTGAGATCGCCGTGCCGCGCTGCACCCCCTTCGAGGTGAGCACCAGCGCCGTGCCGCTCCTGCTGGTGTGGCCCACGTAGTAGCCCGTGACCCAGCGGGGTTCCAGGTCTCGCTTGAGCGAGTCCTTCACCAGCTTCTTCACCTGGATGCGCTCGCCGAAGGGAACCGCCACCTTCTCCCAGCGCTTGCCAGACCTCCTCTGCTCACTCGTCTTGCCGTCGTCGCCGATCTTGAACCTATTCAGCATCTGGGCTGCATAGGTGGGGGCCCACAGCATCAGCGGGTGCCCGAACGGCAGACGCTGCTTCCACTTGGCCTGGGCTGACACCAGCACCGTCCTGACGACGCCCTCGATGACCTTCACCGCGTTCTCGGCTGCTCCATTCGCCTGGTGCTCTCCCACCGGGCTCTCGCGAAGCAGCAGCTCCTTCCCCTCGGCCTTGCTGCAGACGTCCCTCTTGAGCGCCAGCAGCGGGTTCTCGCCGTCCGACTGGTAGATGCACCTCTTGTGGCCGATGTGATTGAAAAAGTCGACCGCCACGCCCGAGCTGAAGTCATCCTTCCCCTTGGCAGGGACCGAATGAAAAAAACACAAGATTCCTACTAAAATCTATTCAAAACAAATCAATTTGCTATCGTAAATCTCCACTCGGTCTAATCGGGTATCTTCGATTTCCTCCGTCGAACATTCATCACACTACCCGCCAACTGGCTGAATATGCTGCCAACACCAATCAATTATCTGGGTCCCTATATAATCGCATGACATAATTACGTACTTACAAGATATCGACTCATCCCTACTACTTACATATCTTCTCCATTATCTTAAATCTCCCCGTACTTTCAGACGGTATTGAATGGATTTATCACATTAATATCTAAAAAAACGGTATAAAAAATATTACTCTTCTTGTCAGCCCGTCCCGCTCGGCAGGCAGTCGTGCATCACCAACACCGTGATCGCAGAGCTGACGTCGCGGCCTCTGCTGTCCGACTCGCTAGCGTTGAGGTAGCCGTAGTCGGTGACGACCGTAGGGACCTCACCCTCAGCAGGTTGATGTCCACGATGCGCTTGGCCAGTCCCACGCGACGCACAGCACGAAGGGCACCAGGACCTGAAGTGGACGTGGCCCTGCGCCTCGTGCTCCTCGATCTCGAGAGAGGTCGGCTGGGCGGGGCTCCTAGCCAGCCGAACCCGCGGCGGCCTGCCGCGCTGCTCTCGAGTCTCCTCCTCCTGGGGCAGCGGTCCTCCTCGCTGCTCCACCGGGGCTTCCGCGCCTCCTGCCAGCTGCCCGGCTGCTGGCGGCGCGCCCGGGCTTACGGTGGTACCCGCCGGCTGCCCCCCGACGCCTGCAGGGCGGGAAGACGGGCCGGCGAAGCAAGCCCCGCACGTGCTCGAGCGAGTAGATCCGCCTCGGCTCGGCGATGGGCCAGCTCCGACTCGATCGTGTTCAGCGGCAGCTGCTCCAGCTCCTTGGCCTTCTCCTCCGGCAGCTTCAGGTAGGCGTTGTACACACCGCGCTCCTGATGCAGCCTGATGTTGTTCTCCAGCGCTCCCGCCTCCTTGAGCTCGGCGACCAGCTTCATGATCGCCCGTCCGGCAGTGGAGCCCTTCTCAATCACCATGCCGCAGCTCTCGTCCAGGATGCCGATCCTCTTGTTGAGCATCTCGCTGGCCGAGATGAGGGGTTTGGTAACCGCAGCCCTGCGCCCGGCGATGCGCATCCTAGCGCCATTCTCGTTGATGCCCTCCAGCACGCCGCCGCCCTCGTCTGCAATGATACCATCACTCGCCGTCTTGAACCTCTGACTCGAAGGGGCCGAAGTCGCTGGAGTCCACTCGCGGGGGATCACCGAGCTCGCGCATCCGCTGTCGAAGTTGACCTTCACCCAGCCCTTGTCGTCCACGATCTTCCTGTTCACCTCCTTCGCGTTCTCCTCGCGCTCGGCGGAGAACAGCTCCAAGAACATGTGGTCCTCCGGCTCCCAGTTGCCAGGGGCCTCCTCCTCGGACTTCCCGACGTCCAGCGCGCCTGCGTCGTGCTTGCCGCCGCCCTTCGGCTTCTGCTTGCCCTTGGCCTTGGCCTTAGCCTTGGCGATCACCTCCGCCGAGGCCGACGGTCTCCAGCAGTCCGAGCTCTCGTGCCCTGAACGCCCGCAGTTCCAGCATGTGAGGTGGGACGTGTCAGACCCCTTGCCTGAGCCTGAGCCTGAGCCCTTGCCTCCTTTCTTGGCTTTGTCGTCCTTCCCTTTGCCAGTGCCCGTCTTGCCCTTGCCGCCCTTGTCCTTGCCGCCCTTCCCGCCCTGGTACGTCCGGACCAGGGCGCCGATGTCCATGGCGTTGGGGTCGCGCTGCGTCTTGGTGAGCACCGGGGCGTCTCGAAGTCGAGCACCTGTCCTGGCCTCCAGGTACGACGCGATCTCCCTCCTGAGCAGCTCGTATGTGTTCAGGCGGCTCTGGTTGAGAAGAACGTGTTCTTCGAGCTCAGCCGGCAGCAGGCTCTCCAAGGCAGACATACGCACGCTGTCCGAGAGCCGCTCTCGGTTGCCGCCGTCGTCCCTCCTAGACTCATACCGTTTCACGGCCTCCTCCCACCTCTCCAGGGCACCCGCGAGCTCCTCGAGCTTGCAGCGCCCGGGCGAGAGGACCAGCTTCAACAAGTTCCGCTTCCGCCCGCCGGTGGAAGGGTCGAACCTCCTCGCGAGGCGCCTCCAGCACTCGAGCCCGTTGCCTTTGTCGACGTTCTGGGTGATGTCGAAGGGCTCGCCCGTCACGAGCTGCTGGATCGCCGTATGCAGCTGAGCCACCATCTCGTCGATGTGGTCGATCTCGCCGTCACTGTGCGGGCCGAAGGCCGCCTGCCAGAGCCCGCGATCGATCGAGTCGTGTCGCTCCACGCTCCATTCCAGCACCGCCCTGAACTGCTCCCCGAATACTCCGACCACGAACGACTCGAACTTGGCGGCCCACTCGCGGTACTTGGACTCCGACCCGTCGAACAGTGATGGCTTGCCGATCCCTTTCGTGTCGACGAGCCTCTGGAACTGCTCGGGTCTACCCGTCAGGCGGGCCACTGCATCCACGAGGGCCGGGATGGCCTGGAGTCCACCTTGCTGCTCTCGCTGCAGTCTGGCGTTTTCTTCGCTCAGCCTCTGAACCTCTGCGGTCAAGGCCTGCATCTGTCGGAACAGCTCCTCGTTGGTCGCCATCTCATGCAGCGTCCAGCCAGCCAGCGAACTCCCTGTCGGTCTCTCAGACCGAGGATCAAACCAGGCTCCGCAATACCATGAAGAGAGAAACTGCTGATGCTTTTCTCAGTCCGATCCAAGCCGAAAGCCTCTGGGGCCAAATGGCTATCGTACACAGAATCCGACGGTGCCCGATCTCTGCACCGGGCCTCGGGACCGTAAAAAAAGGCTCAGGACGAAAAGCTGGTCACGGGGAATGAACGGGTCGAGACTCGCTGCCCCCTCCCCTGCATCGCCCCCCCGTTACGCGGCGCCCAAGACGAGAGAAGGGTAAGGGGATCGGTACAGCCACCCAGCGATCCGACGTCGTGATTTTCTCAACACGGGTCCCCGCCTCGACCCGTTCCCCAGGACCGGCTTGACGTCCTGAGTCGTTTTCTGACGCTCCCGAGGCCCAGCAAGGGCCTCCGGAGGCGAAAAACGGCTGAAAACGGCGGCCAAGACGCGCCGAAGGGCGGACCACCTCGAAAATGGGGGCCGAAAACGAGGCCGAAGGGCGCCGAGGGCCCCTGGAGGCCGAAAATGTGGGAACACCTCCGCCTTGACTTTTCTTTCAAGGCGCTGGACCTGTGGGCATCGTGCCACCAGGAGGGGGCGCCGCAGCAGGAGGGGAGGGGGCCTCTCTGGCCACGCCGAGCCCGTGGCCACGAAGAGGGTTTCCCCAGGGCCCGGCCGGGCCCGAGGAGCCGCCCGACCGCCAGAGCGCCGAGAGGTGGTCCGCCCTTCGGCGCGTCTTGGCCATGCCTCCTCCTCCTCGGGCCTCGGAGCGCATCCGCCCCCCCCCCCCAGAGATCCAGCGTCTTGTCAAAATCAAGACGGAGGCTTTCCTGCGTTCTCGGCCTCCAGAGGCCCTCGCTGGGCCTCGGGAGCGTCAAAAAACAGCTCGGGACGTCAAGCCGGTCCCGGGGAATGGGTCGAGGCTTCTGGGGACCCCGCACCGACAAAAATCACGACGTCGGATCTCCGGGCCCCCTCCCCACCGCCACGCGCCTGCTCGGGGGGGGGGGGCCCTGCACCAGACAGGGCGGCTATAGTCCGTCTGTCGGCGTGTCTTGGCCGTGCCCCTTCCTCCTCGGGCCTTCGGGGGGGGGGGCCCTTGCTGCAAGCCGGGCGGCGGCACAGCCAGAGCCCGAGGTGGTCCGCCTTGCGGCGTGTCGTGGCCGTGCCCCTTCCTCCCCGGGCCTCGGAGCGCAGCCGCCCCCCCCCCCCCTCGCCACCACCACGCGCCTGCTGAGGGGGCCCCGTGCTCCAGACAGGGCGGCGGCATCCGCCGGGGGCCAAAGAGGGGGAGTTCGCAGATCGTGGCCCGAGGCCTGTGCGCTGACCAGGGGGGGGGGGGGCCAGGGAGCGCACTGTCACACGAAGAGGGGCCATGAGATGTGGGGAGATCTCATGGCCAGGCCATGATATCTGCCCCCCTTGGGGTCAGAGACGATGGGGTCGGAGGATCGCGTCGCATCGTCTATGCGGCAAGGATGCATCGGCGATGCGTACGCGACGTGGGGCGATACACCGGCGCCGTAGGCGCGGAGATCACTGGGCTCTGCATGGAGCCGCATCGCTGATGCGGTGCGATTCTCCGACCCCATCTGATCGGATCCCACCTGGGAGGCCCAAACAATTATCACCCCCCTCTTGACCGCCCCTTGCCATCGCTCGGACGGCAACGACGACGACGATCCTCGACGACGACGATGGCCATCCTCGGCGGCGACGATGACGACGACAACGACGGCGGCGACGACGACGACAATCCTGGACGACGACGACGATGATCCTCGACGGCGACGATGATGACGACGGCGACGACGACGATCCTCGACGACGACGACGACGACGACGACGACCGACGATGACGACGACGACCGTCGACGACGACGACGACGACGACGACGACGACGACGACGACGGCGGCAACAATGACTACGACGACGACCGTCGACGACGACCCCCGACGACGACGACGACGACGATCCTAGACGACGACGACGAGAACGACGATGACCGTCGACGAGGACGACGACGACGACGACGACGACGACGACGACGACGACAACGACGACGACGACGATGACACCGACGACGACGACGACGATAGGTAATCATCGACGACGACGACGGCGACCGACGATGACGACAATGACGTCGACGACGACGACGACGACGACGATCCTCGACCGACGACGACGACGACAACGACGACGACGACCACGACCACGACGACGACGACGACGACGAGGACGATCCTTCCTCGACGACGACGACGATCCTCGACGACGACCCTCGATGAGCGCCGACGACTACGGACGCGGGATCGCCGCTGACGGCTGGCGGAAGGTGTCCTCCAGGCGGAACCGACGAAGACGCCCTACCGTCGGGAACTTTTGCATAGCGTGCCGCCACGGCGGCCACGGCGACACGCCGTGCCCTGCGAGTGGATGGCGTGCCGCTCCGCTCCGCGGGGCGGGAGGCTCGGGCGGGCCCGGGGCGCTGACGCGGGAGGGTCCGAAAGTGGATTGGCGTGTCGCGCCTCAGCGCGGTGGGCCAGGACCGGCGGAGCGACACGCTACAGGCCGAAGTTTCCGACCATGGCAAGAACCCGCACTTGAGTTTTGCACCGCGCTTGTTGTTTTTTTTAACGGGGAAACGAACGATGACGTAAACGCTTTCGCATGCGCCCACGGCGCAGTTTTTAGCACACTCCTCACACGTCTCGTGGCCCGATAAGGGGAATTCTCCGAATGCGTTGCATACAACGGCGGTACTCCCAACTGCATATGGTTGGGTCCTGCGCCAGTCTCATTTCAATTACTAAGGAAACGAACCATGGCATTTTCTTTTTATTTACTACTTATTTACTACTTACTTACGAGTTGCTAATTATGGATTAATGCAACTACTGTGTATTCACTAATTCATTAATTTATTTATCGATTCATTCATTGATTTATTAATTTCTTCATTCATTGTTGTTATTGTTGTTGGTGTTGTTGTTTTTTTTTTTTGTTGGTTTTTTTTGTTTTAAAGAAAAAGCTCGGAGGTCCGCGCGGCCGGCGGCGCTGGACGGCTGGACCCCCCTCCCTGGCGCGCGGAGCGCGCCGGGGGCGGCGCCGGAGGCGCCGCCAGCAGGCCCCAGCGCCGATGCGAGAAATCCGCGCGGACCTCCGAGTGATGGCTCGTTTCCCAGTCTGCCACGCTCGCCCTGCCCCCCTTGCCCGCGCCGGCCCCGCGCCAGATGCTTGCGGTCCGCTCACCCGTGGCGGCCTGGGGCGGGCGGGGCGGAGAGAGGGAGAAAAACGAAAAGAAGAAAGGAGAAAAAAAAAATAAAAAAATAGAGAGGGGGGGGGGAGACGAGAGGGGAGGGTGGTAGCCTGCCTCCCCTTGCCCGACCGCCGCCGCGCGCCCCTCGTGCAGAGCGCCTCTCCTCCTCCTACGATCCTCTCGGCCGCGCGCAGGGGAACCCTCCTCCTCCTCCTACCTCCTTCCTCATCCTCCTCCTCCTCACTCCTCCTCCTCCTCGTCCGCCTCCTCCTCCTCGCTCGTCCACATCGCTACCCTCCCTCCATTCCTCCTCCTCCTCCTCGCTCGTCCTCCTCCTCCTCCTCGCTCGTCCTCGCTCGTCGTCCTCCTCCTCCTCCTCCTCCTCCTCGTGGCCCCCCGTGGCCACAGGGGTGGCCTCTTTCGGTGCGTGGCCTGCCGATCGCCGCATATCGCCGCGACGGCAGCGGCCAGCGTGCGACGACGACGACGACGAAGACGACGACGACGACGACGACGACGACGACGACGTCGACGACGACGGACGACGGACGACGGACGACGACGACGACGACGACGTCGACGACGACGGACGACGGACGACGGACGACGGACGACGACGACGACGACGACGACGACGACGACGACGACGACGACGACGACGACGACGACGACGGCGGCGGCGGCGACGGCGGCGGCGGCGGCGTCGATCCTCGACGACGACGAGATCGACGACGCTGCGACAGCAGCGGCCAGCGTGCACGCTTCTGGCCCACAGTCGGGCTGCACTCGAAATCCTAGCTTCACGCTCCAAGTACTCTGATCTACGCTGCTGCGTCGACGGTGCTTCGCCTGGATCTCGAGATTTAGGAGTGGCTGCCAGAACTCTGAGGCAGACCGTTGCCATCATCGAGAGCGCCAGTCTGCATCCTCGAGGGCGCCGCGATCGGCTCCGTACTCGAACCATACTTGAACAATCCTTTTTTGCGCTGCAGCTGTTCTGCTGTGTCGATCTGTTCTTCGACTGAATTTCGAGGTGTATGGCAGCCACCGCCCCCTCGCCCCCCGTGCACCCCCGAAAGCCGCGAACCAAGGGTCGCTCCGGCGCCGAGCCGCCTGGCTGGCTTCAATGGAACCACAGCTCGGATCTCCGGCGGCCCTTCGGGACGACTCGGGCACCCCCGGGAAGGCTGTCTGCGAATCCCAGCTGCTGGCGAGCGCCCCGAGGCTGCAAAACCTTCCAGGGAACCGACGAAAGCGTCCGCCAGCGTGTGGCCGCGCACCAGAGGTCACTCCGGCGAAGGGTCCCTCTTGCGCGCAGCCGCTCCTCGCCCTCCTTGGCCGGCGGCTGCCTGATCGGGCCAGCGGCGGGCAGCGTCTCGGAGATCCCGGTGTGAACTTGCGGTAGAACGGTGGACCAGCCAGACTGGGGCTGGTTCTTGGGCCAGAAGGGGCGCCAGAACACGAGGAGGAGGAGGAGGAGGAGGAAAACGACTGACTGACTGAATGACGCGCATCTGGCTTGAAAACCCCAAGCTTGACGAAGTTCAAAGTCACATTCAATCCGAAGGCTCATGCGTCCCGTATCGCACACGACCGCTCATTCGCGAAAGCATGTATCTCTGTAGCGAGAACCCAAGGAGGACCTGCGGGGAAGAAAACAGCAGAAGGAGGAGGAAAATGAGAACAGGAAAAACGACGAGGAGGCGGACGGAGAGGGGTAAAAGGAAGACAAAGATGAGAGCGAGAATGAGGGGAAAAAAACGAAGAGGACGACAAGAGGGGAAAAGGAAGACGAGGAAGAGGACGAGGAGGAGCAAGAGGAGAAGAAACAGAGGGAGGAAGACGCGGAGAAGAGAACACCAGAGGAGGACGAGGAGAACAGCAACAGTGATGAGGAAAAGGGGATCCGGGAGCAAGGGGAGAAGGAGGCGGAGGAGGAGCAGGAGAAGCATGGGAGGGAGAAGGAGGTCTTACGGTCAGGGGGGTTCGTTTAGCGCGTATGATCGTCCCGCCGGGCCCGGGGGGGAGGTACACGCTAAACGAAAACTGGATGCACGTACACGCTAAACGAAAAAAGCGGAGATCACGCTAAACGTCGAGGGCAGGATGCCACGTACATGCTAAACGCTCTACTGCCGAGATCTCGCCAGCGGGGCGTGCTCTTACCTTTACCCGCCTCTCCACTCCTCCTGCAGGAGGAAGCAGGAGGAACGGAGGAGGAGGAGGAGGAGGAGGAGGAGGAGGAGGAGGAGGAAAATGAGGAGGATGATGAAAATGAGGATGATGATGAGGAGGAGGAAGAGGATCGGTCGGCACGATGCTCCCGTACGCCTGGAGAACTGCAATTACGTAGGTGCAACTCCTGTCGGATTTGCAAGACCGGCTTCCTCTCCTCCTATGCATATCATCCCTCTCTCCGGCCTCTGCCCGTTGTCCCCCATCCCACCCCTTCTCGCTCCCTCCACCCTTTCTCCTTCCTTCTCTCCACCCTCCACCCTCCACCCCTCCCACACTCCCACCCTCCACCTTTTCCCCCGTTCCCTCCTCGCCTGCTTTCCCCCCCTCTACGTAGCTGGAGGGTGTCCCATGGATGGGGCCGCCCTGGGCCTCTCTAAAAGCTTTCTTTAGTAATTTCGAGCGCTCCTGGTGCTCTTTCGGGCTGGCCTCCCTGAAGGCCCTCTTGGGCAATCTTGGGCGCTTTGGGGACCATTGCGGTCCGTTTGGGGCAGCAACCGGTGCCATCCTGGGCTGTGATGGCAGCCTCTTGGGTTTTCTTGGAGCTCCCATGGGCTGCCCTGGGCCTCTCTGGAAGCCCTGTTGGGCCTTTTTTGTCGGCAGCTGATTTAAAGGTTAATTCAATCTAATTTTCAAGGACAATTTTACCAAACCGGGAGATCCAAGAAAACCAGGAAAATCTAACCAAACCGGGAAATACAGGGAAACCAACGCTGGGAAAACCGGGAAAACCGACCCAAACCGGGAAAAACCTACCCAAACCGGGAAAACCGACTCAAACTGGGAAAACCTACCTAAACTGGGAAAACCGACCCAAACCGGCAACCGAGAAAACCGACCCAAAGCGGGAAAACCGGGAAAACCGACCCAAACCGGGAAAACCGACCCAAACCAAGAACACCGACCCAAACCGGGAAAACCAAACCAAATCCGCGGGTAAGCCGACCCAAACCGGCAAATCCGACCCAAACCGGGAAAACCGACCCAAACCGGGAAAACCGATCCAAACTGGGAAAACCTACCTCAATCAGGAAAACCGATCCGGAGAACCAACCCAAACCATGCAAACCGACCCAAAGCGGGAAAACTGAGAAATTCGCACCAAAACCGGCCAAACCGACCCAAACCGATAAAACCGACCCATACCGGGAAAACCGAAACAAACTGTCAAAACAAACCCCGACGGGGAACAAAAACCTGGAAAACCGGGAAAACCAAACCAAACCCAAAAAAACAACTCAAACCAAGAAAACCGAGCCAAACCGGGAAAACTTACCCAAACTGGGAAAGCCGACCCAAACAGGGAAAACCGACCCAACCCTGACTCCAGATCCGCCCTACTTTGGGGAAAAAGGCTTGGAATTTCCGCCTTGCTTTTCAAGCCCTGCTGATGCCAATTTCCGCCCTACTTTTCTGTTGCTGTTTCCGCCCTACTTCTGTGGATTTCCGCCCTAATTTATGTTGGGTTCAGAAATTTCCGCCCTACTTTTATTTTTCGGCTTCTGAAAGGTGGATTTCCGACGCAGTTTGAAGTTGGAAAACAAAGAGCGGATCTGGAGTCAGGGAAACCGGGAAAACCGACGAAATCTCACCAAACTGGGAAAACCGACCCGAACCGATAAAACCAACCCAAACCGGGAAAACCGGGCAAACCGAGAAAACCAACCCAAACCGGGAAAACCGACACAAACCGGGAAACCTACTCAAACCAGGAAAACCACGAAAACCGATAAAACATACCCAAACCGGCAAAACCAGCCCAAACCAGAAAAACCTACCCAAACCAGGAAAACCGGGAAAACCAGGGAAGCCAAGGAAACCGGGAAAACCAAACCAAACCAGAAAAACCAAACCAAACCAAAAAAAACATGAAACTGGGAAAACCAAGAAAACCGGGAAACCTCAGCCTGATGCGTGTACTTTTCCGCGCATCTGCTCTGGCACCGGATTTGTGCACTGGGGCACTGGACGTTCAAATCAATCGCCGCGCCGACATATGGAGCTGGTGGTGAAGGAAAGGATGATGGTGAAGATGATGGTGGTTACGGTGATGATGCTGACGGAAAGGAGCGGGCACAAGGAGGAGGAGGGGCAGGAGGAGAAATACGAGGAGCTGAAAAAAAGATAAGGAGAAGAGAAAAAAAGGGAGGAACCATTGCTCCGCAACGATGCCCGACGCCGCAAGGTGCTGGGAAACGGCAAACAATTTGGACCTCCGAGCTGAACCTACATAATCCGGGGCTGGGGAGGCACCCAGGGCCGGGGGGGGGGCGTTTTTTTTTTGTGTTATATATATATACACATACACATATATACCTATATAGATATGCACCATCGCGCGCGCTTCGCGCGCGCTCAGGTTCTAGCCAGGCTGGATCGGCTAATACATGGAATATCATGTTGGACGCTCCTTGCTTGCATCCAGGGAATCTGTGATCATCAATTTCATTACGTATTCGACGATTTGGGGCCCGCAAAGGCTTCCCGGGATCTTTCTTGGGGCCTTAAGTGTGGTCTGTTGTGCAAGAATACACAGGGGGCGAACTTGAAAAAAAGGGAATTGTGGACATTCCTCTTTTTCAAATTGCCGCGCAAGGGCTGCGTATCAGAAGTCTCCTGGAAGCATGCCATGGTCTGTTGGGAGGCCTCTCAGGGCATTCTTGGCGCCGTATCGGGTGATTTTTCGGGGCCTGTTAGGGGGCTCTTGGTGCCTCCTGGGAGCCTCGCGGGAGTGTCTGAAGGCATCTGGGGGGCGCCTCGAGAGCCTTTGGGAGAACCTTGGGGCCATCTTAGGGCAGAGCGCTCTAAAGGCTTTCGGAGGTCCCCTCTTGTGGCTCCGTCCTGGCGCGCGCGCTCAAGTTCTAGCTAGGCTGGACAGGTTGACTCATGGGATTTCGGATTCTGGCGGCCTTTTTCCCAAGAGAACACGAAGACGGCCCAAGAGAATTCCAAGACAGCGTCAGAAAGTTCAACAGCATTCCCGACAAATCTTCGAATTGTGACCCCGAAGTCTTGATGGGTCTCGGGGTGAGGTTCGACCAAAAAAGGAATCGCTGGAATTTCCTTTTTTCAAGTCGGGCCTCCTACCATGTAGTGCGCAAAAAACGGGGAGGACTAAGAGGCCTGCAGGGTTCCTGGGAGGCAGTTTTGAAGCCTCTCCGGGGCTGTTTTTGGGGCCTCGGGGGTTCTCTTGGGCCTCTGAGGGGTCTGGGGTTTGTTGGGGGCCTCTGGGGGATCCTGGAGGCCTCTCGGGGGCCTCTGCTCCCGCTCTCGGCCCCATCTTGGGCCTGTCCTGGGGCCCTCTTGGGCAGTCTTGGGCGCCCCCTGGGCAGTCTTGAGGCTCTCGGGAACGTCTTGGGCCCTCTTTGGGGCCTCTTCGGTCGTCTTGGAGCAGTCTTGGGGGCCTCTTTGGCTGTCTTGGAGCGTTGGACGCTTGAAAACGCGAGAAGGTCAAAAACTAGACAGAAAAAAGCAATGGACATCAACGATACTTCTGTTTCTCGCTTCAACTGGGCGACGAATCACTGGAGAAAGTTTGAGATCTGCATGCAAAACGCAACGCTGATGGGTCAAAAGTAGCGGCGATGGCTCCAACCACACAAGCTCGCTCCTGACCGCTACTGCTACGATGCAAAGCATGCAGATGGCCTGGTTAAACATACGTGAAAACGTCCACCGCCTGCAAACGAAATACTGGCAGGCTGCCGGGAAAAAATATGCCAAGGCGTTGGCCAGGCTAATTTTTTGATGCAGTAGTGCGGCGACATCTTGGATGAGACCGCTGCGAGTATGCTGGCCTGCGTTGTGAGAGCACTCTGGCGCTCATCCTGGGGCACCCTCCGCTGGGTGGTTGGAGGCGTTGGCCGAAGGGGGGAACACCTGCGCAAGAGCCTCCCGCGCGATCTCCGGAAGCTTGTGCTCATGCGAGCGCTGGTGCTTCGCCCTCCACCACCACCTCCGCCCTCCCTCCCCCCCCTCCACCCACCATCCCAGACCAGCCCCGCCCGAATCGTCTTAGACATTGGGCACTGACAACTGGTTGGTAGATTTGCCCATTCCAGTCGCTTAGCACGGGCTCGCCTAAGCAACGTGCTGCTGCGTTTAACACTTTGGCGCTCTAAATGAAAGCGGCCCGGCATGGAGGAGTACAAGGAAGAGAGAAGATGCCTTGAGGGGGGGATAATGCGGTGGAAGCGGCAAAGGTCGAAGTTGACCCCATGGTCAGCGGAAGGCGAGGTAGCCGTCGGAAGGAAGGTCAAAGCAGGCGCTGCAACTATGTTTGGTGGAGGGCGGCCTCAGGCGGTTGGAACCTACAATCAGGTTTACCAAACGTCGGGTTCGGCGTTGGTGGCGATGTCGTTCGAAGTAACGACGAGCGCGTGCTCCTCAGTGGTAACGCCTTCCTTCAGCTTCGTAAACTAGACACGCCCGACAGTGCTCAATAACGCCAAAACAACGATAACGACGAGACATACGCCTCAGACCTTACGCAGCGGCCGCCCCACGTGGCAGGCGACGAGTATTGGACCTCGACACTTGTGGACCCGATTTATTTAGGCTCGTTTTTGGAAGCTTGTCGATGAAAATCAAGGATGTTGGACTCTTCGGGCCCTCTCGGGACGCCTCTCGGAGGTCTCTTGGGGCCTCTTGGAAGCCTTCTGGTTAACTCTTCGGTGATCCTGGGAGCCTGGAAAGCCGTCGAAAGGCTTTCTTGGGATGTTTGTTTGCGTTCTGGGAGCTCTTTGGTGGCGTTTTGGGCCATCTCGGGGCGTTCGGGGGTTTCCCTGGGAGCCCCGGGGGGGCGGTGCCGGGGACTGTCCGAAAGTTGTCCCAGAAGTAAGTGTCGGGGGCCCAGGGGGGCGTGTATATATGTATTGATGTACATGTGTGTACACACATACATGTATATACCATTCACATACATACATACATCAATCCATCCATCCATCATACATACCTACATACATGCATACATACATACGTACGTACATACATACACACATACATGCATGCATACATACATACATACGTACATACATACATACATACATGTATACATACATACGTACATACATACATACATACATACCTACATACATACATGCATCCATACATACATACATACATACATACATACATACACACATACATACAGACAGACAGACGGACAGACAGACAGACAGACAGACAGACAGACAGACATACATACATACATGCATGCATACACATACATATATATATATATTTAATCTGTGTAACTATATATAGTAGAACCACGCGCGCGCTACGCGCGCTTATGTTCTAGTCACGGCATCATGGCGCCTAAGGATGCCACGGCAAGCAGTGCCATCGACAGCGGATCTCGTCCCAGAGGGTCCTGACGGCCGACGCTCCTGGCGCCTTGGAAATCTCGTACTGTGCTGCCTCCTTCCTGGCGCAACTCCGTCGCAGTGTTTCATTGCAGGAAGGTTCCAGAACTGCCTGGGCTGGACCAGGCTGAATCGAACGGCCGCGAACCAGCGTCCCCTTCAAGACGAATCGAACCGAACCGGAATGGTCGCGGCGAAGACCCGAACCGAACCGAACCAAGATCGCTCGTGGACCGAATGGGGCCGAATCAGACCGATACCGGAGCGGTAAATCCACCCCAGGGACTGGAGAACGAAACCCGAAGCCCAACAGAGAACAGCCCGGACCCCCCCCCTGCTCGTCATCGTTGTCGGCCTCCTTCTCGCCCTTTGTCTTCGTGCTCGCCCTCTTCCTCGTTCGCCTTCGTCTCCTCCCTGGCCTCTTCCTCCTCCTCCTCCTCCTCGTCCTCCTCCTCCTTCTCGTCCGCCCTTGATGGATTCTGGACCCTGGGCTTTGGATCCCTGGCTCCGGGGACCCGCGTTGGCGCCTGTAGACCCATCTGCGGCCCCTGGAATTCTCCACGATCCCTGGACCCCTCCTCGGCCCCGCGAGTGCGGCCCCAGGACCCCACGTCCAGGAGAAGGAAGAGCAGGCGGGGAGGAGCAGGAGGGGGAGGAGGAGGAGGAGGAGGAGGAGGAGGAGGAGGAGGAGGAGGAGGAGGAGGAGGAGGAGGCGGAGGAGGAGAGGAGGAGGGAGAGGGGAGAGGGCAGGAGGAGCAGCATCAAAGGAGGAGGTGCAGGAGTAGCAGGAGGGAGCAAAGCAGGAGGAGGAGGAGGAGGAGCAAGAGAGGAGGGGAGAAAGGAGAGGAGGGGGAGTGATGGGGGAGGGCAGGGGGGGAGAGGAGGAGCAGGAGGATGAGTAGTAGGAGGAGGAGCAGGAGGAGCAGCAGCAGCAGCAGCAGCAGGAGGTGCAGGAGGATCAGGGGAAGGAGGGGGAAGAGGAGGAGGGAGGAGGAGGAGGAGGAGAAGGAGGAGGAAGAGGAGACAGGAGATAGAGAGGGAGGAGGCACCCCCACCCCCAGCCCCTCCCCCTCGTTCCTATTCCTCCTGCTTCCTCCTCCTCTCTCCTTCCCTCCTCCTCCTCCTCCTCCTCCTCCTCCGCCTTCTTCCTCCCGCTCTCTCCCCTCGTCCTTCGTCCTCGTCCTCGTTCCTCGTCCTCGTCCTCGTCCTCGTCCTCGTCCTCGTCCTCATCATCCTCCTCCTCCTCCTCCTCCTCCTCCTCCTCCTCCTCCTCCTCCTCCTCTCCCTCCCTCCTCCTCCTCCTCCTCCTCCTCCTCCTCCTCCTCCTCCTCCCCTTCCTCGTCCTCATCGTTCCCCTCCTCCTTGTCCTCGCCCTCCTTCTCCTCCCAGTCCTTTGAGCTCTGTGACAGGTCTTTGGCTCGGTCGTGGCCCTCCTGGGCCGTTCTGGGCTGCTCCTGGGCCCACCCTGGGCTGTCTTACAAATCTACGTGGCCCTCTTGACGTCACATCTTGGAGCCCTCAGCCGTCCTCCCCCCCTGCTGGAGCTAGGGCCCTCGTGGGCAATCTTCGGCGCTTTGGGGGCCATTTCGGCCGGTTTGGGGCAGCAATCGGGGCCATCCGGGGCTTCTTGGAGCTCCCCTGGGCCGTCCTGGGCGGGAGCCGGGGCCCGTATAGCGTGTACCTGCCCCCCGCCCTTCCCGCGCCCCCTGGAGTCGCGCTGGGCCTTCCTGAAAGCCCTCGTGGGCAATTTTGGGCCGTTTTGGGCAGCAATCGGGGCCATCCTGGATTGTCTGGGCGGCTTTGTGCACCCTCTTGGAGATCCCTTGGGCCGTCCTGGGCCCCTCTCTGGAAGCCCTGTTGGGCCTTTTTTGGGGTGCTCGAGGCCCTCCTGGGCCGTTCTGGGCTGCTCCTGGGCCCACCCTGGGCTGTCTTACAAATCTATGGGGCCCTCTTGACGTCACCTCGTGGAGCCCTCAGCCGTCCTCCCCCCTGCTGAAGCCGGGGCCCTCGTGGGCCATCTTCGGCGTTTGGGGGGCCATTTCGGCCCGTTGGGGGCGGCAATCGGGGCCATCCGGGGCTGTCTGGGCAGCCTTCTGGGCCTTCTTGGAGCTCCCCTGGGCCGTGGGCGGGAGCCGGGGCCCGTATAGCGTGTACCTACCAGGCGAATTTCAAATCACGCCTTACGAACAAAAACACCAACAGGGATCACGCCAAACGAAACGGATATTGGATCACGCTATAGAGAATTTGGCTTAACGTGTACTCCCACTCCTTGACCATACGCGCTAAACGAACCCCCCTGACCGTAGTCCCTGAGACGGTGAATCATAAAAGTACAGAGAGCTGAAGGAACGGGAGGAGGAGGAGGAGGAGAAAGAGGAGGACACTGACAAGAAACGTGGAGGCTAGGTTGCAATCTCCGGATCTGTTTTCAGCACAACTCGTGTAGGCATTATACTTTTTTTGTTTCGCGCAACGGGGGCTGGCCACCCTCGAAGGCAGAAGCTGCAAGTGTCGGCGGCGAGGTGCACGCGACAGCGATGCTGCCAACACTGCTGGGCAGCGAACGTGGCGGCCATTGGCGGTGCCGGCAGCGAGTCTGGTGGCAGTTGTGGTGGCGGAGGCTGCTGCTGGAACTGCCCCGACAACACCTGCACTGCCCTGGCAATGGCGGCAGCAATTGAGTCGCTGGGAGGGAGGCCCAGTTGGTCCGCGTATGCGGAAGCGGCCAATACTGCGCCTCGGCATGCTGTGCCAACGTGCTACATGGGCGTGATTAAAGTTTGGCCCTTTTTTAGCATAGCCGAAGTAATGGCTACGATTCATCCACACGTCGTTTTCCAACCGTTTGGAAATCGATGCTATTGTTTCGAACCGACGTGGAACCGTCAGAACAACCATTTTTGTGAGGGTGTCCCACGCGGTTTGCCGTTTTCGAACCGCCATCCCCTTCTTTCGAACCGAGTTGGAACCGTGAGAACAAGAATTTGTGTGAGGATGTCCCACGCGGTTTGCCGTTTTCGAACCGCCATCCCCTTCTTTCGAACCGAGTTCGAACCATCAGGACAGCAGATTTTGTGAGGAAGTCCCACGCGGTTTGCCGTTTTCGAACCGCCATCCTTTTGTTTCGAACTGGGTCCGACGCCGTATTTTGAGGGAAGCCCCACGCGAAACGCTCATTCTGCTTTTGTTTCGAACCGCATTCTATTGTTTCGAACCGAGTTCGAACCGTCTTGAGAGCCAATTTTGTGAGGATGTCCCACGCGGTTTGCCGTTTTCGAACCGCCATCCCGTTTGGCTTAATCAAATTTTAATTTAAGGAACCAGATCCAGGTTCGAACCCCGCCCCGACAGCCCAGGTTCGAACTCCGCCCCGAAAGCGAAGCACCTCCCCGTAACATTGTACCAGGCTCCACGTCCATAACGGGGCGACTAGCGACGTGCGTTCGCGTTGCGGACGCAGGATGCACTTTTGCCGACCCGTCCAAATGGGGCAACCTGTCATCGCGGCACAGACGTGTGCTCGCATTGCGGACGCAGGCTGCACTTCTGCCGACCCGTCAAAGTGGGGCAATCTGTCATCACGGCACAGACGTGTGCTCGCATTGCGGACGAAGGATGAACTTCTTCCGACCCGTCAAAATAGGGTAATCTTTCATCACGGCACAGTATGTGTGGTGACAGGCGCGCGTCTGCTCCTACTGCCCTTCATCTGACCCCTCGCCAGAGCTTTCCGAACGTGCAGCGGACGATCCGTCACTGATGCAAACAATCTTAGAATAACCCGCGTAGTTTCGTGTTGCATCACCCGCGTACCAACTCTCGTGCGGCGGCCACGCAAAAAGGTGGATGATGCTGATGGCGAAGCACTCGAAACCAAGCAGCGTAGCACAAAATATACTGCGCCGGACTTCCGACCACCAGCAGACAGGCGGTATCATCAGTAGGGCCAGGTCCTGCAGGAACGCGATGGAGACCAGCACCTTTGTTCCCCAGAATTTCATGCGTGGTCTGAACTCCTTCAGCGTGCCATGGAACCCCCTCTCGACCTGCATGATATTGGCGATGGCCGCGAAAGATGCTACGAAACCCGCACCATAGAAGAAGCAGTGCGCCTTGGCTTCCCACTCCTTCGTGTGGAGCAGGCCCCTGTTGCCAAGCTCGACGCCGAAATACTCGGGGTACCAGCCGTAGTAGCCAAAGGCGGTCACGGTCAGCGTGTACAGCCCGTGCATGCCGCAGGTGAGGTAGAACAGGATGATCCCAGAGATTGTGAGCCCCTTGGTCTGCGACGCGAATATCCTTCGGGAGCGGCCAAGAGGGGGGTGTCCAAGAGGGGGGGTGCAAATCATGACCGGCGGCATGTGCGCGGCCCAGCGGGGGGGCCAGGGACGCAATGAAATAAGAAGAGGCGCCATGAAACCTGGGGAAATATCATGGCCCCCGCCATGATCTCCCCCCCCCCTAGTCATCACCCCCCTCTTTGCCGCCCCCGGATCCTGGCAGATGTTGCCAGGGCGTCAATCGAGGCGCTCCGGGCGGCACTGCCGCTGGTGCGGCCGGGGTCGCCCAGCCCGTCCAGGGTCTCGTAGACGCTCTGCACCTGCTCCTCGGTGTCGTTGCTCACCAGGTGCATGAGCACCCCCCCGAAGAGGAGCAGCGCGTACGCCTCGTAGATGTCTCCGACAATGAAGGTCTCCGTGTACATGTCCTCCAGGAAATCCCTCCGCTGCTCCCAGCTCCGAAAGTGGCGATTACCGTTGGTGTTCGCGACAATTCCCCACATGCGCGCGACGGCCTGAAACGACATCAGCCCGTACAACAGCGGCAACGCGACGATGCGGATGGTCTTGCAGTGAAGCACGAGAGCTCTCCTCCGGGGGTCCCGTACGTCCACGGCGGCGGGACTCCCACAGCACCGCCTGTAGTGCAAGATCTTCTTCACGTGCCCCCGCGTGTGGTATGCGCAGATGCCCAACGTCGCCAACAGCCAGACCGGGCACAGGAGCGAGAAAAACGAGAGGTAGGGCCAGTCCAGCAGGCTAGCCTCCTCCTGCCAGGCTCTGTAGCTGTCGGCGTCGCTCTCTTCGATCATTCTCCTGTGCACGAAATCGTGGGTCAAATTGGGGTCCAGAAAGCCCGTGGGCCGCAGCAGGTGTGTCCACATTGACCAGAGCGAGCAAAACGTCAGGACCGCCAGCGCCACGTAGAAATATGTAAAATAACACAGTGGGGCCGGTAACCAAACGCCTCTCCTTTCTAACTGCCTCTCCAGCCGGTGCCCGGCCAGCATGAGGGCCACGCAGCCCAGGACGCACGCTGGCGTAACGCCGAAGAACATGCCCACGCGATTAACGCCACTGCCGCGCCACTTCCGACACCCCGCCTCTTGCGCTGAGTGTCCGCCCCTGCCATCGGCAAGACTGTAGTGGCCCCTGTGAATCAGCGCTTGGGCAACTCGTGTAGGCATGATACTGGTGGTAATGTCCCCAATGTTCCAATGTGCGTGTTCCGTCGTCGTGTTGCTGCTCAGTGTAGCATTGCTCTTGACACTCCTACCGAGCACGACAGCGTGCAAATACTGACTTAAGTCCATGGGCACTCGAGGCGAGCCCAGTGAAGAAGCTAAACGAACTGAGTTAGGCAAGCACCGCACAATCATATTCTGCATGCCTAACCAAGCAAATTGTCTGTCAGCGAGGACCCCAAATAGTAGGTCCGCTCTGTGGTCCAAACTATAGAATGTTATCTACACGGTGCAGTACTATACGGTGCAATTTGTGTGGTGCCATATGAGTTGTGCACGCTATGTGGTGGAATATATGTGGTGCAAGCTGCGGGGAGCTACCCGTGCAGTGATATACTTGTGTATATGTATATACTAGAACCATCGCGCGCGCTTCGCGCGCGCTGAGGTTATAGCTGGCCGAGCGCTGACCGCATTGCGACAAAAAGGCGGTCATGAATAATGAAATCAACATTCTCTGTTTTCTCCTGCCTCTTCCTCATTCCTCCTCCTCCGCCCATCGACCGGTCGACCGGTGATCTGTCGCCAAGCTATGGGCCAGGAAAAATGCAGCGCTACAGCGCCATGTTGCACTATGCTATGGAATGCCATGATACAACATGCTACGGTATAAAGCGCAATGTCACGAGCAATGCAAAAAAAAACATGATATATTCTACAGTGCGCATTGCACGCCATGTCCCTATGTGCTGTGAACTGCTATGATAATATGTGGGATGATGCGCTGAGCCATGCCATGCTATGTTTCCTATGAAGAGCGATGCTACCGCGCTACATGGGATGCACAGACACTACATGTCAGGCTATGCAATGCATTGCAATACTATGTGCCATGTTATGAGCTGCTTGGCTAAAATATACAGGAAGACGGTAAGAACAACGGGGGTTGCATGATTTCTGTTTACTGTTGTGCAGAGCAGTACGGTGCTGTTCGATTAATTTCATGCGCATGGGAATGCCATAGTACGCCACGATGTGTCAAGAGATGCAATACCATGCTAGGCAATGTTACGTCATGACGTTCAGTGCTAGGCTCAGCTAGAAGCTGTTACGGAATGCAATGCTATGGCATGCTGGACCATACTGTGATATGCACTGACACGGTTAGCTCTGTCGTGCTGTGCCCTGCCATGTCGAGACTTCTGGGGACCCCGCATTGAAAGAATCACGACGTCGGACCTCTGGGAAGCATCTGTTCTGGAACCAACGGCCCCTCATGTCTCATGGTATGAGCTCGGCGGTGCGAGTCTAGCCAGCTCGATGGGAACTAGAACTTCGTTCGGCACATGCTCAAACAAGCTAATGCCTCCCCCGCAACCCACCGCAAAACCAACCGCATCGTCGAGTCATTACAGTGGGCGGCGCCCCGCGAAGAGAGGCTATTCTCAAGCGCATCTGCCGAAACCAAGCGGTACGAGGCATGCAGGCTGCATGGCGCAAATTTGATACAGTTCACGACACTCGAGGCGCCTCCTCAGGAGTCCTTAGGAAATCATGACCAGAGAAAAGTCCAAACCAGTGGATGGTTTGAAACTGAATGATATGGACATTGAGATCAATTGTGGGATCGATAGTGAGATCGAAAGTGGGATCGATAGTGAGAACGATTGTAAGGCCGACCGTGAGACCGATAGTGAAGTCGATTCAATTAGATCGGGAAAGGGATCGATCGTGAGATCGCTCGTGCGATCTGTAGTTAGATCGATTGTGAGATCGATTGTGAGATCGATAGAGAGGCGGGTCATGAGATCGATGGTGAGACCGATCGATAAGGAATTCGACCAGGAACCCAGGAACCCGGAAACATGGGAACCCCGCCGCCGAGCGAAATCGGCCCGGAACCCAGAACCGGGAACCCGGGAACCCGGGAACCCGGGAACTTGGAACCGGGGACCCAGGAACCCAGCGGCCTAGCTGGTCTCGCGTATGCCCTTTCATCCAGGCCAAATTATTCAAGTATTCCTCGCCTTCTGCTGGAGATGGCTTCCCGAGACAGCTTGGATAGACTCGCCCCCAACATGTACCGAATGCGAATGCCCACCAGACATAGCAAGTCGATTCCACCACATTCGTCAACTGAGGTAGGTTTCTCTGCAGGAGTGTTCAAGAGCTCTACTCTGAATAAGAATTGCCCCACTGCCAAGTCCGTTACCTTGCCTCCAGCACTGAGTGGAGTGCTGTCAGGCCTCTTCGCTTCCGCTACGTAGGAAATCTTAAGTCCAATTGAAAAGCCCCGTGGCACCACTTTCCAGAACTCCCATGTTTTTGGGATTTGCAGAAATTTCAAAACAGTCTCGAGAACCTGCTTGGAATCCGAACTTCCAACATGCCCCCAAAGATTGTAATGGGGCCCAGTTTGGGGGCTGGCTCTTGGGCCGTATTGGAGGCTCTTGGAGAGGGCCCAAGAAACCCAAATAGTCCCAAGCTATAAGTTTCGTTGCGAATTACCGCGCCTCGAACTTAAGAGCGTCCGAGATGGCCGACAACTATTCCAATATCACACCATGACAGCCCCGTCAAGCACCAAGGGGGGTCTCAAGGAGCACCCAATAAACCCTCAAGAGATGCCCAAACAAGGAAACTCGAAGGAGACCCAGGATGCCACCCCCGAGGATGAGCCCTCTAGACCACCAGCAAGCCCCGATACGGCCTTGACACATCCACGACGCGATGCCAAGAAGCCGCCCAGAGGGATCCGAGAGGCCTCAATTAGGCTTTCCAGAGCAACAGGCCTCCATGAGGCCTCGGATGGCCGAAAGCCACTAGATGACGCTCTTGACGTATACCGAGCCATCCACTGATGCGGAGGATCCTCCGAGGGCGTGCATGCCACCGCGCACCGAACGAGCGGTTCAAATGGACTACGCCTTCTGACAGAGAGGCACCTTCCCAGGAGTACCAACAACAAACAAACGCATTGGAGATGTGCAGTCTACTGCAAGCCGCTGCTCGAGTAGACTGTGCCCTTCTGAAGGCAGCTTCCCCTCCCCGCCCAGCTCTTGATCCGCCGGCCCCCCGCTTGCGCGGGAGCGGGAGAGCGTGGGAGATGGCTGGCTGTCCTCCTCCCCCCCTCCTCCCTCCCCCTTCTCCTCCTCCTCCTCCCTCCTCCCTCCTCCCTCTCCCTCCCTCCCT